GATTGCTAGTTAAATTTTGTGATACCAAAACCAAACCAAACCCCTTATTTTGTTTGTTCTAATAGTCTTAAGTCCTTGATTGATTCGCACTGAAACCTCAAAATCTCTATGGTTCGACCCCTAAGTACTACAACACACATCTGTGCACTTGCAGATATTTAGGGTTATAAATTGAAAACGTGAAGCTAGAATTAATTCTTGTATCTAGTAGCATCACATATCTTTTCATAGTTCCTTCCGGTCTTCTAAAAGTTTGATGCATACAAACAGGAGCAGAAAAATTCCTCATCCAAACCATCCATCATAACCGAACAAGTTATCAATTGACTGCTCTTAAATAGCGGAGTCAGCCTATCATTGTCTCTCCATACAACCCAAATGCGTCCCAAGCGATTGTGTTCATAGTTTGTGAGCACCCGACCAATCTTTAAATATTGAATCTACTATATGATTCATCTTGCTTTCCTTCACTCTCGTTTCTAACATACAAAAAAACTGAAAATCTCCTCCATTTATCCAATTCTTCATAATAGAATGTTTAGATGTTTTGTTTAAATCGCAAGACATTTTAGAAGAATCCTGACATACTTAATTTTTCTTGGGGGTGGGGTTCTTCTTTTGCCTGTTGCACTTGGAGTAATCTCCTTTGTGCTCTGGACGAAAGAATTTGAATCATTTTTGTTTGTCCTTCTAGATGATCGAGGCGGAAGCACCCGTGATGCCTTCTCATCTTGCTTCTCCAAAGGGCCCTCTTCCTTCTCTTTTATCTCACCATCTTCTTTTTCCTCGGTTTCAAATTTAGTCAAAAGCTCCAGCTCGACCTCATCTGATCCATCTCATTCCCATTTTTTCCTTGCAAAATTGCATAACTGATGGGAAAAATATTGGAGTGTCCTCTGCTTCCTTCCGTTCAGCTTGTCTGCCAGCCTTCACTGGAGAGACCTTTGACCAGCTAAGATCGACCTCATCATTTTGTTGCTTGTCTGTCACAATATCAGTGTCTCTCCCCACCACAACAAGAGACAGAGCTTCATCCCTCAAATATACTGCTTTCATAGCACTCTGCTTCTCCTCTGTTTTCTTATCTATTTCTCCAACTGATTTCTCTGGGGATTGCTCTTTCCCGCTTTCTGTTTTTTCCTTATCTGCTTTATCAGAAGATTCCTTCATCAGGGAAGATTGTGATGTCAGAATCTTTATTGGTTGACCTCTTTTTTGTGCACTTACATTTGCTAACTTTCCCCACTTTGCGCAAGTTGTGCATCTTGATGGCAACCATGGATATAGATAAACTCTACCTCTGTGCATCAATTCCTTTTTCCGATTTAAAGCGATAGAATTTTGCATGTTTGCCTCAACAAAGACCTTTGCTTCTTTAAACTTCGTGCAAAACACTGCCTATGGGTGAAGTCGCACTGGTTTCCCAACATCACTCGCTATAAAACTTATGCCCTCCCATGAAAACAATTTGTGAGGGACGTTTTTAAGCTTGACCCACATCGGAATCACTTTTATCTTAGGTTCCTGTTCTTTATCCTCGATTAGAGACCATTTCGAAACAACCATTGGAATTCCTGCAATGTTCCACATTCCTCTTCTCCGTACCCTCGGTCTGGTTGCTGCATTGTTTATACAAAACTTCACCGTGGTGCGGTTTACCACATACACATCCACGCGAATACTTCTATCTCCTAGAGTCCATATCTTATTAACGATCACATAGATATTTGCCACATGAGGCGCTGCTGATAGAAAACGTCCTTCCAGTAAATCATCCCATAGAGGAACCGAGTTTTGATGATTTCATCCGGAATCACCACCAGGTTTTACCTCATGAGATGAAACAGATGGCTTAACAACATTAAGCCAAGAAGATTGAGAAACCTCTCGCAGAGATGACTCTGCACTTTGCCTGCCGTCAGTCAGAAGCTGAGGCTCTAATCCCGTCTCCATCCTCAGCTGTTGACGTACAGTGTAAGATGGAAACCCTAATCACTTTTGGTGTCGCCCTCAAAATCATGTATGCTGACGTGTCCTCTAGTGAAAATATCTTTTCAACGCCTATTAATTTTCTTTTGTTTCCACTTCGTTTCGTTTTACACAAACTAATCAGTTTATGTTTTATTTATTAAATGGTAGTTTATGTTTGGTTAAACTAATTTGTCCATTTCTAATCTTATTCTTACTTGACAAAAAAAAACAAAAAAACCCAATAAACACATATAGTGGAGTCATTCTTTTTATTTATTTATCTATTTTATTTTATTGAACATTAGAAAAATTGGCTCTCAATTTAGAAGGGGTTCCAAATTAGGACGGAAAAAAGGCTAAAACCAACCCGAACTAAAAAAAAATACGGTGTCAATAACTATCAGAACTCCAAAATAATTCAAATTTTCTACTCGATACCTTGACTAGTTTTGATGTTAGTCACTGTTAAAAGATGCTGACGAAGTATGATGGAATATGACTTGGCATGACACATTGTCACTTTACTAAAACGACGTCGTTTTTATAATAGAAAAAATCTAATTTTTTTCCTCTTTCCTGGACTTGAACCCAAAACATTTCAAACAATAGTCGAACGTGAGACATCCTTGATATATATCTTACAAACATATTTATATATTACTGATATGCTTTTCTTAAGATTGTAAGACGCTCAATTCTTTCTCCATCAAACATGTTAAAACCTCGACATGGATCTAAGAGTCACGAAATCTTTCACCAACACCAGAATTGCTCTCTCCGATCTGGATCGGAAACATAGTTTCTCTGATGCAGTAATTCTCCGAACGCAAAATCGAACTCAGTTCCCTCTTATTTGCAGCCTCTGAATGCTCCGACAACGTAACTCGATGAAGAAGAAGTGTCTAATCCTAATTGAATACGCCATCGTTTTATTCAAATTAAAATATACATATCAATTATTCATAAATGTATTTGTATAAGAAAAGCAATAATGTCTCATGGATCAATTGGTCTGCATGCTTGAAGATGGTTTATAGTGTCTTGGGTTCGAGTCTAAGAAAGAAAAAAAATTTCAATTTTTTTTATTTCAAAAACGACGTCGTTTTAGTAAGGTGACAACGTGTCATGCCAAGTCATATTCCGTCATGCCTCGCCAACGTCTTTTAACAGTTGACTAACATCAAAATTAGTCAAGGTAGATTTTAACACATATATTAGAGTTTGGGTACGAAATTTGAATTATTTTGGAATTCGGGTAGTTATTGGCACCATATTTTAGTTTGGATTTTTTCCGGCTCACTAAATTTAGTTCAGATTGGTTTTGGCCATTTTCCAGGAGATTAAAGAGGCTATAAGCGGAACTAATGTAACTAAGGTAATAAGCCTGGAGTCGTACTTTTTTCTTAGACTCAAAAGTGAAAAGTGAAAGCGGAAAGTGGAGAGTCCTCTCTGTTAGTTCGAGAAAACGGTTAATACCTGTCTGAACTCTTCTAAATAGTGTGAATTCGTGCCTGAGAAGTTTAAATGTCCAATTCCATACCCAAACTCTTAATTACTTGAGATAATTGATATCCAGAACTCTTTTATTTCCGGCTGGTCCCAACATCTACCATTATCCCGCTAGTCAGCCGTTAATAGAGATGAATTCCATGTCACGTCTGCGCCCAGTTGTCACGAAGTTATGAAACGACACCGTTTTAAAAGGATTAAAAATTTGAAACAAATGAGCTTTGTCTGTTTTTTTTTAAAGACCCAATCTCAAAACAACGTCTTTTGATAACAAAACTAAAAATTAAACAAAAATAAATTGTCTTGACAGTTCCAAAGAGCTTTGTCACAATGGTGAAATAGAGAGAATAATGGGTTTTAGTGATTCTTCGAAAATCTGACTGAAATTGATGCAAATCGATTGCTTTAGCAGAAAGAGAAGGCGATTTCGAGTTTGGAGATACAATTCGATTTCTAGGTTTGTTTAAATTCAAAGATTTAGGGTTTGGATTTTGGTGTAAATGTTTGAATTAATGATGGTGGATTATTTAATTCTAATTAATATAAAATTAGTGTTTATCAGCAATAATTTTATAATCGGTTTTCAGTGATGATTCGGATTTGCATGTTTCCCCAATTTGAGCTGGGGTTGACCTGTAATTTTAACGATGAAGATGATGAAAACTGTTTTGTTTTTTTTTTTTTTTCAATATGTTCTCAAAACGACGTCCTTTTGAGATTAAGCCTTTTAAAAAAAAATCAGACAAAGCTCATTTGTTTAGAATTTTTAATCTCTTTAAAACGACATCGTTTTTAACTTCGTGACAACTGGGCAACAAACGTGGCGTGGGACTTATCTCCGTTAACGGGATTAACATAATAATGGTCAATGTTGGGATTGACAAAAATAAAAAAATTGGGATATGAATTTTCAAATAATTAAGAGTTCGGATATAGATTTGAGCACTTCAATTTTTTAGACATGAATATGCACCATTTGGAAGAGTTCGGGCAGGTATTATTTACCGTTTTCCCTGTTAGTTCAAGAAACGTTTATTAGACTTTTGACTATTTCTCAAAAAAAGATTGAAACTAATTTCTCAAACTGGAGAGTCCTCTCTCTTATACGAGGAAGCCATTATAGTCCAAGAAACGTTTATTAAAATTTTGACTATTTCTAAGAAGAAAAAAAGATTGAAACTAATTTGACCATTCCATTAGTTTTGTTTACTGTTAAATACTTAGAGCCTAGCTTATTAAATGTTAGACTGACTTTGATTTTACATGATCCATCATCAATAAGATATTCCATTTTAAGATTTCCAGTTCCTGTTTCTATACATTGCTTTTACATGTTTAAAAGTCGTATCTGCAAAGACTGTAATGACATATATTTGAATCTCATTTTAATTTTTCTTATTCGTTTATTTTCAGCGAATTTGAATATGGGCTGGCATTCAGAATGGGTTTGAAATGAGATTCATTTTCTAGCGGCCCGCTATGAGTTTCATAAAACAAAACCGTGTTCAAAATCATGATCAGACCGAACCAAGCAATCAAACCAGATATTTACGCATACCCGAAGTCGTTAATTCGATAACAGATGTAGTTTCTCTCCACTCCAACGGAGAAATCCAAATGCTCGATGAGCTCCAGTGTCGGAAATCGAATCAGAGTCCTGAGTTTCGGGAAGCTTCCACACATTTCTGATTTACTGTTGAGAACCCATAATCCTCGTAGCCTCTCTGTTCTCCTTCATCATCAGAATCACACTCTTCTTCCGTTTCGCCGTAGTTGCATCTCCGTCGTTCATCGTGGTTCTAGTTATTTTCTTTGGCTTCGCTCATCTCCTCCTCTGTCCTGCATGTCATCTCAGGCTGAATCTGGGTTTCCCCAGCACTCCGATTCTTCTAAAACGGTGACTTCTTTTCGCTGAAATTGTTACTAAAGTTGAGATTTTTTTAAAGTGGTTTAGGGCATAGAGTCCGTCTGATTCCTGTTTGTTGATGATGGATCTTCTTCATTTTATTCAGTGATCCATAGGTTGCAAGTAATGGGTTTAGTTTTTATTAGTGGAGATTATTACTTGTGATCGGTTCACGTTGATGACCTAAATATCTAAAGGAAGATTAATGGTTTAAATGAAACTGTGCTGTTTGTTCAGATTCTAGACTCTTCATTTGATCAAATGTTAAAGTTTCATACTTGTTTGAGACCATCAAAAGATAAGGCAGAGAAGCAAAGATCACATGCTAATTTCTGTAACCACAATACATCTACATATTCTTGGTTCTGGATCTAATGCGTGGAAGTTATTATGTTTTTGATCTGTTTATTTAAAATGAATACGGTTTCAGTTCATTGGTATCTGGATGCTGGTTTGACATTCTTTGAATCACCATGGCGATCGGATAGATATCTAGTAAATACCCAAAAAAACTTGATTGAACCATCGGATTATATTGGTTCTGTGGTAAAATGGACTGATAAATGTCAATATGTTGGTGCAGGTGAGGATGGTGATAAAGGGAAGAGTACAAGGAGTGTGTTACCGGAACTGGACTGTTGAGAACGCAGAGCAGCTCGGGATAAAAGGATGGGTCAGGAACCGCAGAGACGGTTCAGTGGAAGCACTCTTCTCTGGACCATCTGAAGCTGTCGATGAGATGCAGCAAAGATGTCGTCGTGGTCCTCCTGCAGCCATGGTAACTGGATTGGAGGCTTTCCCATCCAGTGAAGAACCAGGGATAAGTTTTGAATACAGATCAACCGTCTGATTGTTTCTCTTTTAGCAGAGATGAGAGAGAGGGTTCTTGAATGTTTGTCATGTATGTTAAGTTGTTAACATAATAAGAATGTGTATTTGATCATTTCCACTTATACATTTATAGCAAGTTGATATTAGTATTCATCATTATCAAGCTGTAGAACCAGTAGAAGTACAGGAGATTTCAACTTGATATCGCCATCACTGCAGCTTCAATGTTTGCATCTTCTCCCTGGTTTCAAGACATTGTAAACAGTTAAAGACTTATGAAAAAGTGTTATTGTCCCTTCTTGCCTTTTCTTTCCAGGAAAACATGTTGCCGTATTTCCCTGCCAATCGACTCCAGCAACTACGAGGTATGTCTAAATCAACCGTAGCTCCAACATTGAAAATTCAGTATGTTCCCTGTTTCAATTCCGCTCATCAAAATCGGTTTCCCTCTGGATACTTGAAGAAGTTAACAATGAGTTTTGGGATGTTACCAAAAGTCTTGTCAGCCACAACTCAATTGTGCTATCATCCACCTGCCAGAAATATTTGATTGCTAGTCCTGTTTCAAGCATAGAGTAATGTCATCGAGTAAACCTATGGAGATCAAGTATGTTGCAAAACTATACTTGATGACATTTCTAACGGGATAGTTTTGAGCCAAGACTTTCAACTTGAACCCTGTATCTTTCTCTAGATCAGCAATTTCTTTAGCAATCCTTTTCTCCTGTAATTCTCAGAGAGCATAAAAGTTAAAAGCATTAAGAAACCCAAAATGGAGCGTAAATTCAGATCAGAAATATACTGCACAAGAAAACATATCTAAATGAGATTAGCAAGAACAGTGCAAAACTACTTCGTGTGCCGCGATCAAAACCCGAAAAATGGAAGCTGATAGGAGCATGACTAGGCCATTAGTCAGGAAACCAGTATCCACTGATTCACCACTGATGCAAAGCAAAATACTTGTTTGACTAAACTTTCCATGGTAATATATCATAACAATATTGGACATATCGGTGTTGATTAATGAATATAACAAAATACAAACTCAACAATATTATTTCTTAATCACAACAAGAGCAATGACCATTAAGCTATTCGAGCTTTTTACAAAATCTGGAGCAAAATTTTAATCGACTATCCTCCAAAAGTATTTTGTATGGACATCGCTTCCTACAGCCGAAGCAAAATGGTCGAGACATATGATTGTTGCGCAGAACAGCTATCTTTATTCCACCTATGTCGAAACACGAACCGGGCTTCATGTAAAAGTCCTTCCCAATCAAACATTCAATGTGTAAGGTGTTACAACAGTACTCATCACACTTATAAAACCGCTCCTTTCGATTTATTTTTCTCTCGCAAGCTTCACACCAATACGTCATGGTACTTGTATCCTCCCCAAAAGAAAGAGTGAGCGTGTGCTTATCATGCTTATATCTCACTTTCTGAGGTAAAGTAGCACATCCAAAACACAAAGAAAATTCACATTCGATGCAATTGAATGTTTCGTTTGTGAATTCAAGTCTTGCCTCTCTGCAAACTGAACATGCTCTCTGCTCTCCTGGTTTAGATGTAAGGAATAAAGGATCCTTATGACTTTCTTGGACTAGTGGCTCAGAAACTGTGGCGCACTGCACATGCAGCTTAAAACTACATCCTTCTTTACTGCATTCATAAAAGAAACCAGCTACGCACGGCCAAGGACAAGCTGAGCAGTTATCCAACTTATCCTCGTACTTGATAACACCATCACATCCTTCTACTAGAGTGAGCAGGTGTGGATGAATCGGGTGATGTATTTTGCGAGAAAGATTCGCACAAGCTTCGTGTAGAATGAAATCACATTGCAAACAAGAGTAGAATTTACCAAAATAGATTGGCATGATGCATGCTTGACACTCAATATTGTCATCATAATCTCCGCCAGTGTTCTCATCAAGTCTCAGATGATGTTGTTGATGACTGAAATGCTGTATGATTCCATCGCTTATCTGCAAAAACGGTTCAACAACTTCTTCTTCAACGTCTTCGGGCACTCCATCAAGTTCTTCACCATCCCAGACGTTGCTCTGTGTGGCACATCTTAAGTGAGACGCATACGAACAACCGTTTTTGATGCAAGAATAACCTCCGTAATCATTGTCGATCTCTCTTCGACAAATGCCACAAGACCAATCTCCTTGGTTGCCAAAAAAAGAAGGGGTAAAAGACATACGATGGGGATGTCGAGATATCCTTAGGACACGTGGTAAGTTGATACATCTTAGATGGACCACAAAATCACAAGGGGGACACATGTAGATAGGGGAGCGTGCGTCGGACAAGGCGCAGACGTTGCAAGTTAAGAAAGCCCGCCTTGGAAACAGAGAAAGAGTATGCTCGTGCCACTTGGGATGGTCTATCGATAAGACTGGTTGTATGTCGGTACAAACTATGTTCATAGCAAAATCGCAGGCCTCGCAATAATAAAAGATCTTCTCGAGATCATCATCGCAACAGAAGCATTTCCTGGCTTGAATTATCCATGACTTCCTCCTGTGGGAGACGAGTTGAAGAGAATGTTTTGGATGGAGAGGGTGTTTGACCTCAACAAGAGTCTTTTGGCATTGTTCATGGTCCTCGCCATTGCAATCTTTGCAGAGAAAATGGGTAGCTTCTTCTTCTCCTCCTCCTCCTCTTACAAAGCAGGCTCTCTGCTGGTTCCTGCGTTGACATTCGCCCTTTCCTTTGCTTTTCCGCTCAACTTTTGACGTCACGTGGAACTTTCCTTGAACAAGCTCTACTTTTAACTGAGGGGACTAAGAAATAAGCTGATCCAGCTCCCATTCTTCCTCCTCCCGCTCCGAGTCCTCAGGGTCTAGGAGATCTAATAGTTGAGCAAGGATTGAACAGAGCTCCGAATCGGGATCCAGAGTGTATAAATGAGAACCCACATTTTTCATGAGTAAGAAAAAGCTGCGGCGGTGGCGGCGGGGAGTAGATGAGTTGAGTCGTGAGTGTTATCAACTCCCACTCGGGCTCCGAATCTGATATTGAGTTTACGACAGATATTATCTGAGCAACGAGTGACATGACCTTTGTCTGCGGCGAATCCAAATCCAAGGATTGGATGAGAGAGACTATTTGACCAAAAACGGGAGATATATCTAAAAGATCCGAGACCTCATCCGATCTAGTGAGAGACCGTAACTGAGAAAGTAATGAAAGTAATGAAATCAACTTCGACTCTGGCTCCGGATCCATACTATTGGGAAGAGGGAGACTATCTGCGAGATGATTGATATCAGCTCCGGCCTAGGATCAAGCTTGGATGTTTCATAGTAGAGTGACAGAAACTCCGAATCCACCACAGATATTTTCCGAGTAATGATTGATATGAGCTTGGACAGCTGCTCCGGCTGGGAATCCAAATCCATGGATTGGAACACAGAGATGGCTTGAGTAACGAGTGACATGAGCTGGGACTCCGGCTTCGCCTTACACTTCAAATCCATTGACCTCACCACAGAGATTACTTGAATCATGAGCGATATGATCGAAGATCCCGAATCTGCGGTGTCATCTTTCAAAGAGATTACTAGTTCAGAGATGAGTGATATGAGCTTAGGCTCCGATTCTGAATCCATACTGTTTTTGTTGTTCTGTGTTTGCTGAGAGAGGTTATTTTCCATATATATATATATATATATATATACTAGGTATCTGTCTGCGGCGCGCAGACATAATAAACACATAAATTTTATTATAATTTGAATTTAGAAATTTTTGTAACATAAATGTCATATTTTTATTTTCAATAATTGAGATTAAAATATTATATAAACATAAATCTTAAAAATACTAAATATCTATTATTATTATTCTAAATCGATTAATATTAATCGTATATTAGAGTTATTTAAGATCGTATGTAGCTATTAAGTAATATTATAATAAACGATTATCAAATATAATTAGTAATAATAATAAAACTAATTAAATGGTAGATAAAAATATAATAAAAAGAAATATCAAAATAAATAATAAGATCCAACACGCAAGTTTTAAGTTATATAAATACTTATATATAATTACTATACAAATTTTGTTATAATTTGATTATATCAAATTCTTTATTTAACATATTTTGCAATTCTTTTACCAGATTTAGGAAGTTTTTCTAACATATACGTGACATTCTCCATTCTGAATAGTTGGAACTAAAATATTATATATCCATAGATCACAAAAATTTATTGGATTGTTTATTATTCTAAATTGATTTATTTAGCCCACATATTAACGTTATTTAACAATCGTCTACATTTATAAATGGATATATATATAACGTAATATAAGAAGTACTATATTAAATGTCGATACTGTATAACTTTAGTGAATATATATATATAACGTAATATAAGAAGTACTATATTAAACGATAACCAAGGAAAATATAATAAAAGAAATACCAAATAAAATAGAAAGATTCGACATAACATAAGATAGAAAGTCTTAGCATGAGAAAAAAAATGTAGCTTATACAATGATATTATGAGGACATAAATCCATTAAGTCTTGTTGCATGGAATTTAAAGAGATAAAAATTAAAACTCCATCATAATCAAACTTTCAGGAGTCCTTTTTCGTGCTTGTTCCAACTTGCGTCTCTATCATGTTAAACTTGTTTTGAATCCTGAAAGTTTAAGAGACACAGACATATTTAAAGGTTATTGTATATATATATTTATCATTTTCGGATTACTTACTTTCTCTTGAAAATCAGGACATCATCAGTATTATGAGCAAAGAGGAGACAGGAAAAACTAATTGCTTCATGAGCATGGATAGTTATTTCATCTATATACATAAAACGATCAGTAAAAACTATACATGCAAAATAAAATATTTATGAAATTAATAAGATAATAATGGCATATGCTTAATGACCCATACCTTCTTTTTTCTTTACGCTCCAATCGGTTAAAACACAAACTTCAAGAGGACCAGTGAATCTTTTGCTTCTTTCTTTGATGTCAGCAGCAAATTCCCCGTGTGCGATACATTTCAATTTCAAATCCCTTCAATTTAAACAATAAAAGTTACAAACTTTATTACCAAGTCATAGTGATCATGAAAGAAAATATTACTTACTCGAGGTGAAAGTTATTTCTTAA